TCCAGTGGGCCGGGAACAGGAGGCAGAGCTGGACCCCAAGGTTGAGGGGCTTTCACCCAGCCCCTAGAGCCTGGCACTTTGAACTTGGACTTAAAGTCTCCAAATAGTAAGAATAAACTCCTGTTTGTTAAGGCCATCCCATTTGGGTTATATATTCTTGTCAGAGTGGCACTAGATAACCAGAACATTGTATAAATGAAACTCATCTCAAGCTGCTTAAATGTTCAAATCCTGAAACTGGGGGGATGAGGGATCCCAGGAATATTGGGGGAGGGGTAGAAATCTCAGTTTCTGACATTCTCTCGTAAGATGACCAAATGGAAAACTTTCGCTTTGAATTAAAATGACTTAAAATTAATTTGACTTTGAATTTTTCTTGAGAGTATTCTATGATTCCTCATAAGACAAATTATGACACCCTGAAGTACTCTGAAACTGAAGATAAGGATCATTGATTTGGAAGGAAAAAAAAAATTTAATATGGAGGAGCAAATTGAGGGCACATTACAAACACTGAATAAGAACATAAAGTAACTAAATTGGTTACTTGCATTTTGCAAAAGTGAATCCATGAGCAGTTTTGTGAGATTAGCAAGTAGAAGGGTGAACTGGTATGCTTAACAACATGGAGCCTGGGATCCCTGGGTGGTTAACGCAGTGGGCTGCTAACTGAAAGGTGGTTGGTGGTTGGAGTCCACCTAGAGGAACCTCCCAAGAAAGGCTTAGCCATCTACTTGCAGAAATCAGCCATTGCAAAGTCAATGGAGCAGTGCCTAAGGCACTTGACCACTAACCAGAAGACTGGAGGTTCAAACCCACTAGCCACTCCTCAGAAGGAAGGTTGGGCAATCTACTTCCATAGAGATATAGCCTCAGAAACCCAAGGAGGGGTCACTATGAGTCGGATCCAACTTGACGGCAGTGGATACACATGGGGTCGCTGTGAGTCAGAGTTGACAGTAAATGGTTCTGTAACATTGAGCCTGGAAGGCACACTGCCTCTCTTAAGCACAAAAGCTCTTATCTCCATTTCAAAGAAGATAATGCTTAGGTGCTACAAACCAACCATATTTACTTTTGGTAAATAAAGTCTGTTGACAACTATAATTTGCATAGTCTCTTAACATGTCTTGCGAAAAAGGTTATAACTTTCGCAAATTACAGTTTAGTTGCCAAAGATTTCCAAACAGATGATTCGTGATTGCCGAATTGCCATCCATGACTGTACAGGCAGTTCATAAGTGTCAGTTAACATTTCAAAAACGCATTCATTTTCCACCAAGATATATTACCCTGGAAAGCTTTGAAATCTGGTTCATTGTTTCCTTTTCCTAGATGTCCCCATTCCAAGAAATTCTGTCCTATCGACATGCTGTGGGATAGCAACAAATGTAAATGTGTTTTACGGGAGGAGAGTCCCCTCGGAGGAATGGAAGGTAATGACAGCAGTAGTCCCATAATACTAGTAATAACAACATTAACAACGAACATGCTTGTTACAGGCAATGCTGGAAGATAAGACTTTTCTGTGGAGTAACTCATATCATCCTCTCAACTCCCCTATTATTATTCCCTTTTTTACCGTTACAAAATGGACACACCAACTTGTCTAGTAATTTGCTGAAGGGCATGCAGCAAGGAGTGACAGAAGCAGTCAGATTCTGGAGCCTACTCTGCTATTAGTGACATTGTAAGCCCACCAATGCATCCCTCTACTTTATAATCTTACAGAAAAGCCCCAAGAGATGTATTGTGGTTGTCGTGTGCCACTGAGTTGACTCTGAGTCACAGCTACCCTATATGGCAGAGTAGGACTGCTCTGTAGGGTTTCTTTGTAATCTTTATGGAAGCAGATTGCTGGGTCTTTCTCTCATGAGGGGCTGGTAGGTTTGAACCACCGACATTTCGGTTAGCAGTCAAGTGCTTAACCATTGTGCCACCAAGGCTCCTCCAAAAAGATGAGAGCATCCAAAAATGTGGGATTTGAAAGGCAATCTTTAATGAAAGCCACTTCAGCACTGAACACTGGTCACCCACAGTTTACTACGCTATTCAAATAAAAGTATCACAGAACATAAAGCAATTTTGCACTGTTTGGGTTCTTTCAATGGTGTCCTGCAAAAACACACCAATAGTTGGAAAACACAATGGGGAATAAGAGAAAACTCCTTCTGAAAGTAGGGCAAAGTCAAAGCAAAACATGACTAGAGGAGTTGGGAACCGAGTGAGCTGGGCCATCATCATTGTTCATAACCCAGAATGCTACGATTGTTGGTGATGAACATTTGGTGGAAAACGAATGCATTTTTCATTCATTCCCCAAAGAACTTGACATGGTTCCCCTGAAAAAATTCACAAGGAATCATCTGTTTTGAACCTTGCTTTTTTATAAAAGCTATGAATGACAATGAGTTTTTTCTGAGTGACAGAGGAGCTCTGGTGGTACAGTGGTTAAAGCCTTTGACTGCTAACCAAAATGTTGGTGGTTCAAACCCACCAGCTGCTCTACAGGAGAAAGAGGTAGTGTGCTTCATCTTGGAAGCCTTGGGAACCCTATGGGGCAGTTCTACTCTGTCCTCTGGGGGCGCTGTGAGTCAGAATTGATTCCACGGCAGTGGGTTTAGTTTGGGCTTTGGTTCAGTAAAGACTGACAGCCTTGCAAACCGTTGGGGACAGTTTTACTCTGTCCTATAGGGCTGCTGAGTCAGAATCAACTTGATGGCAATGGGTTAGGAATGACAAGCAAGAAGCTTGATGATGAAACTGTGAAAGGTCTGTCCCAGAAATTATTAGTAAGCAATCTATTTCCTCTGCTTCTGTCTCTCAGCTTCCCTCTAACTGTCCCTGGAAGTGCAGCTCAGGCATTGAGAGCATCTTCAAGTCCACGTGGGGGCCCTGTTTGGTGCAAAGCTGCTAACTGAAAGGCTGGAAGTTCGAGTCTACCTAGAGTCACCTGGGAAGAAAGGCCTGGTGATCTCCTAGCAGTGATGGACTTGTGGGCATCATGCAGGAGCAGGCAACATTTCGTTCTGTTGCACGTAAAGTCTCCATTAGTCGGAACGGACTCAGTGTAAGCTAACACAACCCCTATAGGTAAAACCTGAACTAATGTTCTAGGGGTTGGCTGTCCCACACAGCAGTCACTGGACATATCTGGCTATTGAATTTTCTGAACCATCACGAGTCTGGATTGAGATGTAGTATGAGGGTAAGCCCCAGTGGTGCAGTGGTTAAGCGCCTGGCTGCTAACTGCAAGGTTGGGGGTTCAAACCCACCAGCTGCTTGTGGCAGTCTGCTTCCATAAAGATTACAGCCTTGGAAACCCTATGGAGCACACTTCCACTCTGCCACACATGGGGTCAGTGTGAGTCAGAGTCGACTCACCGGCATTTAATAAAAGAAAAAAGTCGTGTCATTTCCATGTCCGTGCAGATCTTGAGTATCCTCTACTTCAAGTGTTCAGCCACCCTGTGCTGGAATAACTCACCATCTACCGAGGCAACCCAGTGACTCTGTGCACTCTTGTTGCTAGTAAATGGTATTGAACCTAAGCGGCAC